CAAGTCTATGGCGAGCTGAGAGGTGACACTCTATTTGTTTCTTAAGAACTTCACTTTAGCCACAGCTAAGAATAAAAATAATAGATTCCACAATGTAGCGTTTAAAGGGTTTATCCATTACAGCTGATCGTATTAGATAAATGCATCTTTTTAGCATTTTGCCACACTAAGATTATTCTGTCTAGAACATTATAATTGAGGTATGAAAAATGAATATCACAGCATTCAACTAATTGGCTCAACAGTATTCTAGTTAAGTAGAGACGAGCTGTGGTATATCTAATTATAATTTGATCTTAAAGACTTTCTTCTTAAAGATTTGGTCTTGCTGCTTTCTATGTCATTTCAAAAGACAGATGAAGATTATATGATAGTAACACATTCAGGGGTATTCTCAACTACACCTTCCCTTCCCATTTTGACATTCCTAAGCTTGAGAGATTCTTCGAACTGAAGACTGTTGCATCAAGTAATGCCTTTTTCAGAAAGTGATATTTTTTTGCGCTGTGTAAGCAGGACACGCATCAACGAATCCCTCATAATTGTAGAAAATCGTCCTTCTTAGGGTTTGTTTGCTATATCATTGAAATACCATAGTCTGTTCTGCATTAGATAATTCTGCAACATGAACACCTCCACACACTATTTTTTTCGACTCTAAGTTCTATTGCTATTCATCTGCTTTTAAAGTACTCCATAAGGATATCTAAGAGAATGTATACATATTTCTTAACAACTTTGCCTTCTGATTTCAGAAAACTATAGAGGACCTTTTCTTTTTCGATGCAAATTTTTCAGGGTTTGAATATTTTTACATTCAAGATTTTTTTTTGATCTAAAATGCTAGGGAAAAAACCTGTATCTTTTAGGGAAGTTTTGACAAAATTGTGAAGTTTTCTTCAAGGAAAACACAAAGCACTGAAGAATTGAATTAAAAAGTATCAGATTTTGACGTTTTCTTGACTATCAAATTGGAAGAAAGCATTAATAGCTTCAAGGTGCCTGGGTTCCTTGTTCTAGCGAAATGATACTTTTGCTATGATTTATCTTGCATTCCGTAAAAACAGCATCTTTGGTAACTGTGTATTTCTCCTTACAGCAAATATGGATACACATTTAATCCTGTTGTAGTTTTTCAAACTTAAGTTCAAGTTTGAGAAGGTGCTTCGCTCTATAGACATATAAGCTGCATATTGAAAACAACTTTTCGCCCGATGTTGCTCAGTATATGAAACATAAGATAATTACCAAACGGTGCACCTAACTTAAGAAGTGGCACATTATGCCAAAGTAGGCATCCATAATAAGGAACATTTTAGAGTCAGTTAACCTGGCAGGAGATGGCTCTTGCTCTGTAAAGCAATTAACAAAAAATAAAATGCCAACAATTTGAGTTGCTGAATGCTAGATTGAAGCATACCTACCACAGCAAAATTTCTCATTATAGATTTGATTGTAGATTTAAGAAACAATTTAGAATCTTAAGTGTATCTTTTTGCATTTACAGTGCCGGACAGCTATTTCAGGCAAAAAGAAACCATTCGAAAAAGAACCCAGAGAAAATAAAAATGAAATAAATTAAGATATTAGCAAAAATCAAAAGGTTGTTCTTCAGACAAAAGTCAAGGTTGGCTCAAAAGTGTTTGCGTCTGTCTGCCTGAAAATCTAAGGTGACGCTACGAGCCTGAATTTGTCAGTGAAGATTATCGCTTACACTGCCCATTCTTATGCAGACAGTACGTCTTTGTTTTTGTGCTTGAAACTTCAAACAGTTAGCCAGCGCCGATTGGGAAGGTCGACAATGCTCGACGGTCGAATGACATTGCTGCTAATTTTATTCGGTTGCATTTTAGGATCAACTCCTGACGGGTTAGTTGAATCGCCCACATCGAGCACAAAGGGTTAAGACTGAAGTGGCTCTTTGGAAAGCTGAGGTTTAAAGGTGGGCGTCTCAAGCACTCGGCCATAATTACTCCGCTAATCTTTTTTTAGTAAAATTGGAAAGACAACACCCAGCGAAACTAAAAGGTAGACCAATAGCTTTCAAAAATGTTTAACCGGAAACTGCTTCCCATTCTTCTACCATTTTCCTGGATGCTGAAAAATCACGGAAATTTTTGTTTGCTTTCCAGTGTACGCAGTACTGATTCTTTAGGAAATATGGATGCCAGAAGTCCTTTGATAAGGCAGTATTTGCATTACATTCTATAGTGTTTTTAAAAGAAAATATGTGGTTGTAAACCTATGATCTCACTATTAAGCATTTTTCAGTCATTCTTTATCAACATACAAACAAGAATAAACAAGGTCTTTCAATGAAAATCTAATATCCTAGGCTTTTATAAGGCTTTATGCACACATATCGTAATAAATGCAAGCAGTTACAAGACCCCACTTACAAGTGTCAGCCGCGTAGCCACAAAATATCACTTTTCACGATTAGTATCAGCAGAGAAAAAAAATGGTAAATAAAACTAAATGAGCCAACGAAATGTAAAGCAGAGGGAAAAATAAAAAACACAAAAAAGACTGTTCCATGTTATACAATAGTTTGAATCGCCTGTGCATTAACAGAAAAGTTTTCAACTCGGTTTTAAAGGCCCATTAGAATATATTTGCAGTCTCACATTTGCAGTCAATATTTTTATTATCTAGCAGCGAGAATGCATGGTAGACCTTTTAGGTTTAGCTTATAAATTTCATGACCATAATTTACAAGTAAAATTATTATTAAATGAAGTTTTGGATGGAAAACGAAATATTGAAAAAATAAAGAAATGAAGTAAATAAATCAAGAAAAAATAAATGATTCTATTTACAGTTGCTTGGTGATCGCATTACTCGGAGTAGCAAGTTAGAACCGTCCTGTTCTAGACACCAAAAGCGTGTGAGTCAAGTGGTTGTGTAATTTAAAGATTTTATGTAGTGATCAGAGCCGAGAGGCATTTACGATAGAACTGCCATAAACTGATTTGTAGAATTGGTATGCATTTCTTAATGTTTTTCTTAAACACATTTCCAACTCCAAATAGAAATACAAATTGCTCAATGTAGCAGTTACTAATAAAAATCACGTGGCATCTTAAGCAGTTTTTAGTTCAGAATCTAATTAAATCGTCTCATAAAAGGCGAAAAGTTCAATACTTGATGGCTTGATTACGCGAGAAGCAAATCTCCTTGATCTAATGACAAAGTACTGACACTGTTTCTAGAACACTAGAGTTTTTGTTTATCACCCGTTCATAACTCGTGAATACTCAAGATTGGTATGATGTTAGTAGACGGCTTAGCAAGAAGACACTTCAAAGAGCTTAATGGATTTGAATGAGGCGTTATCCAAGTAGCACATCAAATTACTCCAGATCACTTGATTACGATATTAAAAAGATAGAATTCAGTTTATTACAGATATGGTCACGATTATACTGGTTTGAAGGTCATGATTGTAACTCTCGTTCTCTTTCACTCCCAGTGTATTTTAGCCAGTAAGTTATTCTGTAATTTTGCACTATAAATGTAAAAGTAATCTTGAGTGGTCTCAAGCCTTTCTATACTTTCAATGCTTGTAGACAACAAATCGGAAAATAAATTTTGATTTGACACTTAATACAGTGATGAATACTTAATACTTGAATCATCACTGATGACTAAGGAATTATCCCCTTAAAAAACCGTAAAAATCATTGTTGTAACCACAAAGATGATTGTGACAATGAACATTGATTATGATTAATGATGACTTATCATGATTGGAGATGAAAAATCAAAGCAATGGCACGTGGCAATGATCTTGATGATCGCAATAACGATAGTTGTGATTTAACAATGATGATTTTATTCAAATAGAATGACCAGTAAAGAAAATAATGATAGTCAATGAGGATTAATGATGAAAAACCCGAACAAAAATGCACTGCAATGATCGAAGAGGTGATTGTTATGGATGTGACAATGGCAGCTAAGATTGAGATGATGATAATGGAATGGCTAATCGTTGTAATCACGGCGTTTGATCATCACAGTTCCCTAGTCTTATAGTGATTGCTATAAGATAGCGATAAATGTATTGTATAATGAGCATAGTGTAATCAAAATTTTATTATTCCAGCAGCAAAAAAACGCTCATATTTTTAAATACATCTAAACTTGTGTGCTCCTCTTTGGTGGAAGTTTTAAAAACTTTTCGACAGCTGTAGAAAAAAGGTGCTTATTAGGTAAGCTTCAGTCATTATTGCTTAAGAATAAAGCAGTTTCAGTTAATCTTTTTAGATCATAGACCGTTTTGCCATTTTGGACTTTTTGGCAATACTTAATAGTCTCAAAGAGGATTTAAAGAATTGACAAAGTGAATCGTTTTATATCTCTTTTAGCTCTACTGTCGATAAAATCTTATCTGGTATAAGAACAAAGAAGTTTTATTATGATTAATTTCTATAATTCAGAGTGAATTTAAGGGAACTTATTTTAATACCAAACTCTCTAAAACCGAAGTGCAGAAAAGTATGTTCGAATGATTCACGTCAAATTTCAGTGTTTGAATGAACCATCAAATTTTGTCTGGAAAACTTATAAAATTCGTTTATTATCCTTACACTTACGCTCTACATCACTAGCTATTCATATACTTTCTTGAACTGCATTTCAATTAAATAACCTATCAAATATATTTTTTTGTATTTTTGTTGAGTTCTTGAGAGAAAGTGTCTAAAACTATGCAATCTTTGAAGCTTGAATTTTAAAAGAAGAAAGAAAGGAAGTCTTAAATGGACTATGTTTGTTTGCTAAGACGTCTAGTAATTTAGAAAATGTATTCACAAACGTTTACTTTACTTGCAGCCAAAATAAAGTTATAATGAGAGTTGGCCGATACCATAGATAACGTACTCTGGCTCTAGTGTCTGGCATTGCAATTCCGCTTTCTTTACGCTTTATTAATGAACTCAAAGAGCGTCCTTAGGATTATGAACGAAGATTTTATGAACGAATCAACATGAAAATACCTTTGACAATAGTTGTATCCATCCAAAACATATCTTCTGTTTTTGCCGTGGTGCTTGGAACAAAGTGACCCTTTATGCTAAGTGAATTTATGTTAACTCATCTTTTGGCTTTGAATCATCATACGATACCTATAACATCCACCATAAATTTCAGATAACGAGACAGACCATGAGAGATTATAATGTCATGAACCTTTGCATCAAGATTTACAGTTGTGGTGAATTCCACGAAGAAGTATACAAGCTACCGAAGTCTAATTTTCGGATATACAGCATCTTTAGCTGATCGGACAGCGAGGCATTATGTGCGGTGTTTTCACCACTTTTCCACAAAGCGGGTTCAGGCGATTTTCGATTGTCTTAAAAGTGTTTGCAGAGGATTGAGACTCACTGAAGCCTTGTGTAAATTAATTAATACTTCAACAACAATTTCTCGTTTACAAAAAATCCTGCTTAGCAATAAAACTTGCAAACAAATTCTTTGGGTAATGGAAACTTTTTTGATTGAATGTATGCTCATGCTGAGTGGTGTTGATATTTGCTCGCGTCGCGGGAAAATCGTTTGTTCTATGTTGTTTGTCTTTGCCAGGCTAGTTGCTTATAAGCGCTGTTAGAAATTCTGTGTATTCTGAGTAATCATGATACCACTACTGACTCATCGCTTGGATTTTCAAAAAGCAATTACATAGTCACAAGTATATGCCTGTCATTAAAATTGTTTAGAAGCGTATGAAACATAATCAAACAGTATACAGAATGATATCATACCTGCATAAGCGTAGTAGGCAGGTGTGCAGGTGGGGCTTGAGTCCATTCTTAAGCTTATATCAAGGTCAAAATGAAGGGTAAATCAAGTGTGGATACTGGATCAAAAGGCTCAGAAACACAATAAGTCAACATCTATTGCTTGTCCGCTTACCGAAAATTTTTAAACTCATCTAGGTCTCTCAAGCAATTTATCAATAGACATTTTGTAAAACAATTGTACAATCGATGTAAACTTGTAAGTTTTGAATGACGAAAGAGCTTTCTAGCTATTCTATCGTGACAATACTCTTTCATTGTGTTGCTGCTTCAAATCCAATCGAATAAGTACTAATGCCAATTTATTTTCGTTTTACATTCCAATTTTTAAAAAGGTGCTTAATGAAGAAACTGGCAAGAAAATCAAGAAACAACAGAATTAGCAACTAAAAGGTTTTGTGTACAAATTCTCTTTTCATGCCGATGTTCCGTTCACGTTCAAAAAGTATGGATCTGAGCAAAACTATCCATGTTTAAAGTGACAAAAATACCGAAAGCGAATCATCATAAACGAGGAAATCCAATAGTGGAAAACTTGTTAAATATTGACTTTAGAATGTTGTGTTAAGTTAATGCAAATTGTTGCACGAAAATCTGCGTAGCCTACAAATGCATAAGGACAAGTAATTGAGAATATAAAAAGCATTTCGCCTATGAAATTGCAACCGTACCTATGAATTATCTTTATCTTTTCCTCTCCTGGAAAGGGCTTTAGGATTATTTCTGAAGTCTCGTTAAATTATTTTGGGTTATGGAATACCATAAGCCGACTTAGAAATGGATGACTATCTGCTTTTCATACAATTATCATCATTATCAGTACCACCAAACAGCCGTTGGTATGCTGATTTGTCTGTTTTGTATAACGAAGTCCTCTCAAGTTCTGCTATCAACTTACAGGTCTATTGCAGTCTTAATACTCTATTTCAAGACAGAAAACTATAAAATCTTGGGGGTAACAAAATTGTTAATATCACTGTACCAATCACAGCCCTCTGCTTTTAAACGTGTATGCAAAAATGATTCCTAACTCATGGTTCTAGTAGACTTAGAAGATATTTTCCGACACGAACACTTTTGCAGTCGGCAATCACTGGTTTCAATAATAAAATCCATTCTCTAATATCTTAAGCAATGTTTCGACTTTTAACTCTAGAGTTTGATAGTATTTTTACCTGAAAACTCGGGTCAGTCTTTCTGAAAGTGAGCTTTAAACTAATTTGCACTAGCTGAAAGGCTGAGTTCGATCCTCTTTAGCGATTAAGTGAATACAGAGATAAGAAGATAAATGGGTCTCAGACATGTCAATACTCTTTGAATTTTTGCTTCAGTATAGCATAGTTTCAGTGCAACAGACCAGAAATCGGATGCTACGAACCAAGCTCTTTTTAGCGTAAAATCTATTTCATTTGCTAGTAAATCGCGAGACATGCAGTTTGGTAATAAGAAACAGTAGATCGTTGAATGGGCAGAGCATATCTATGAAACAAAACTTCTGACTTAACTAAAACTGTATTTGACGATTTTTCGACTTACCAAACTTATACTGAAATAGGATAACTTCTAACTGCCCTCACTTGCCTTAAGTAAAAAGCGAATGAAGCAATAACAAGAAGAACGTATATTGAAAATGGATCAATAGTGAGAATATCCATCATGCCAGGATGTAAGACAAACATTGAAAAGCAGAGCAATTAAGAAAAAAATTAACTTAAATAAGTGATTTTTGATAAATAAAAAAAGATTGCTAGAAACTATTGTAATAAGAAATTCGTTGATTGAAAGAATGAAAGTGGAACAGCTGATTATTTGGAAGTTCTGGTCAATGAAGTCCCAAACCCCAGGGGTGGTCTTAACCAAAAAGAAATGCTTTTGGTCCCTAAACATTTAAGGCAGTCAAAATAAGAAGAAATTTCTTACCTCTGTCTCCTTCGAAGAGTTCAGCAACATACAAAGAATGAAGGCGTCCAGATGATGGCTGGAATAATTGAAATCAATTCATTCTCCCTGCATACACTTTGATAGATGGTTATTGAGGATGGTGGGGCAGCTAACAACACTCATTCATAGAAAGTGCAAGCTCTGTAGTAAAAAGAAAACACATTGCGTCAGAAACGATCTCTTGATTAACCTACTATCCATAGTTGATCAAACCTATTTAAGCCTAGAAATCTGAGGCATTAATTGAAAGCATAAAAACCACGGAAACTGAAGTCAGCCGTCAGATGTGGCTGACACTACGGATTAAATAGGTTAGATATGAAGCACACATATAGACTTTCCATCAAAAGCACTTAATTTTGGTTAGACAGGTAATATTTCCTGCCCACGGAAAATCGCTCCTATATCTACACTTTGCTGGATTTCACGGCTGCTGTTATCAAGCCTTGGTTTCCTTGCAACGATTGGTTTGTTTTAGTAAGTCTGGATATTCTCAAGAAGTTATCACTCTATTTGAAGTTAAAAAGACAGAGATGCGTAGTCAAAAGTGGCAATAGCAGAAATTTATCTAAACGATGCAGGAAGATAGGAAAAAAGTCTAACACGAACTTGTCCAGACGACGCCCTTCCCCTAATGAGACATGACTAGCTTTCTCCTTTCGTAAGGTTTGGTAAAGGAGGATATACTGAAGGTCATGAAAATAAGAACAAGCAGAGACATACGTCTAAATCATCAGGATAGCTGATTAGATATTTGGAGATTTATATGTATGTATTTCTATTCCAGTAGCCTCTTTTGAGTGGACAGCTCTCGTGAAAAAAGTTGACAGCTGTTCACTGAAATGTTACAGTGAAGATTCAAGAATCATACATTTCAAAAACGTTTTGGACAAAAAAAACTTTTTGCTGAAATGAGAAATTTTTAGTAGAAGTGTCTTAAGACTAAGAGAATGACCAGTCTTGCTATCTTTTGCAAAAGCGCGTTTTTAAAAGAACAGTCCTTATGGAAATCCCTTTACCGTTTGCAATGCTCATGTTAGCATCAAGTCTTATACTTGGTTTTCCTAAAACTGGGAATATGTTTATTTCTCTTTGGTTTCCATGCATGTTCATTGAAAAAACGTTCATTGTACTAAAAAAATTCGTTTTCGAGAGAAGCAACCGGTTTTGTAATAAAACATTGTTCTTTCCTTGTTCATAACCTGGTAGCCAGAACCTCTGGAAAAACAAAAAATGGGATACTGACAAATATATCTTGTTTCTAGCAGCTGTTATAAAGTTCTAAAGTAGTGATATCCAGTGGCGGCACCAAGGGGTGGTACTTTTCTGAATTGTTATAGTAACTACCTCAAATTAAGCATCGAGAAAGGGAGAAACGGTATTAATTTTATCTTCTTCCATATATCTTTATAGCTGCGAATCATAGAATTGTGTTCTTGATTTTACAAGCTCTAATCCATTCTGGAATCAAGTTTCTAAAAAATTACATTGACAGCGTGATTATGTTATGTATATTGATTATGTTAATCATATAAATTATGCTGAAACATTATAAATTTTTCAGTATATTTTGAGAAATTTTCTCAGCCACCCATCATCGCAGCATTCATCTAGCTTAAATGTAAAGCTACAGGTGTTTTCAACTTTAAATGAGAATTGAAATCTTTTATTGTAGAAATGTTTATAGTCTTCTTCTTCATTAAAGCTCAATAACAGTAAACATTTCCCCTGTGGATGTCGTATCTAGGTGGACATTATGGCCATGATATTTTCATTCAGTGGACAAATTTCATCAAAGGGATGTTAAGGATGCAAATCTGTGGCTTGCATATATTCAAGATTTCTTCTTAAACACCAAGCAAAGTGATGGCTACAAATGTCTCAAGAAAAGACAAAATATCTTTCGATGTATAAAACTGATATTATTCAACAATCCTGATTACCATATTAGAAAATTCCCAAAGAATAAATGTCCGTTGCTAATGCATTCGTAATCTTTGTTATCCTTTCATAAGAAAGGCTTAGATTTCCTAAAAACTGCCATTAATGAATTCAAGTATAAAAAAGAAATGAAATTCTTTATCCATAATGCTTTAATGATTGTTCAACTCAAAATGAGAAAATGTAAGCTTAGACGAGATTCGATAAATGTAAACTAAGATTCGATAAGATTTTTGTATTGAATTTTTTAGCTGAAGAGAATCAAGAGCATTTTATGGCAATTTCAATGCATTATCATTTGCTTCTGTCCATTGTTCCTTAAAAATGTTCATTATTGTTATTTTTACTTTACCATTCTTTATTATTCTCACTTTATTATTCAGCCTTAACTCACTTTATTATTCAGAATTTTCTTTGTTTTTCAATTAGATAATTGTAGAACGCTAGAAGAGATAAATAGAAATTTTTTTGAAATTCTTGATTCGTAGGCAGCTTCATTTGTGCTTCAGGGTTGAACATGATCGTTTAGCAGTGAAAATCATCTTGGGTCATCGAGGAGAAATAGGAAGGAGAATAATTCAAGTTTCTTCCTGTTTTGGGAAAGTAAAGACTTTTCTTTAAGGGGAAAAATTCCCTGTTAATAATGGCATCTTCAAAGTAAGAAGAACGTGGTTTATTGAGTTTTCACAAAAGGTTACAATTGGACGGAAAGAGATAATCTTATTTTCTAAACAGCCAGAAATACTAGCGTGATTGCAAGTAATTAACAGAGAATCAAAAAGAATTAACTTTTGATTAATTTAATCTTAGAAGGTCGTAAAAGTTGGTTTTGTAAAGCCTAGCAAGGATGCGGCTGAGGACACAGAGGTACCGAAAACTTGCAGTAATCTGACATTTTGAGTAATTTTAATTTATTTCCATTTTGCAAGATTGAAGACTTTCATATGTCCTGTACGTTCTGTAACATCTCTACATTGTTGGGTTGGCAAAATATCGCCTTTTTTCGATAATGACTCCCGCAAATTTGCAGTCAGGAAATATCTCTGTTTAGGCAAATGCAGACCAGTGCTGTTTTGACTTGTCCAGCCAAGCAAAGGCAAAGCGTGCATACAAAACCTATGGTGCTTTTTCCTTCAAGATTCCGTTTAGTTGCAGCTGTCTAAAGATCCGCAAAAGTTCACAACTTTGACTCATCAATCGTACCCCTCTTGATACGCTAAACCTTTAACGTGGATTCAAAAGAATGAAAGTCATGAAAGAGCGTATAAACTCATACTTCTAACTCAGCAAAAGTCCACCTCAGGCTTTTTGCTTTTACCGTACTCCAAGCATATCTTTGATAAAAATGTGCATTGATTTATTTTCTGCAAAGCATAGAATCTTTCATATTAGTTGCGACAACGTGCTATGGAAATGCATGAAAATTCTGCAACTGCAATCTTTCCTGCTATTGACTTAAGTCAAATGCCGAAAGCACAGCAGTTTCTTGGTGAGATTAAAAACATTTCATTACTTCTGTTATGTTTTTCTTTTTATTATTGGGTGGCCACCCCACTGTTGCTTCGGAAAACATTTCGGCCTTGAAAAGTAAAACCAAAGTTTCAGAGACTTAATGCTTTAATCATGTGTGTTGCTTTGTATTCATTCGGTAAGGAATGAATTCGAATCATATGGCTTGACAGGTTCATAATGTGTGTTAGATTGAGAATATCTGAGCAAGGTTGAAACTAGTCAAGCTAACAATATTTTTAACGAGGAAAAATATATAATTGACAAAATCTAGCACTGACTTAATCAAAATCCCAGCACTTAACAAAGCAACATAGAAGCTCGAATTTTCTTCAAACATAGTAAGAGATTTACAAAAATGGACACTGTTTTCTTTCGCCAAAATGTAAATTATTGCACTAAACTGAATGAGCTTTTCACACCATGATTTGGATGGTAAAACACAACCATTGTCTCCCATAGTCACTTTTGATGTATATTTGTTTTCACAAATGCCATCTTATGCTTCTCTGCTCTCTATTTTACTAATTTCTTTGCTTATTTGCTTATCAAACTGCGAATTTTTCGAATATTTATTGCATGTTTAGTCTAACCTAAAGTTTAAAACTAGCTTTAGCATTTCTTAAAAAATCTTTGTTCTGCAGATGTGCTATTTGATCAACCACGCCCAGCTTTACGCTTTTTAGTAAAGCAAAATTATGTTCGCCTTAGTTTTCAATCATATAAAATTGTAATGTTTGAACTTTGGTAGATAGAGAAAAGGCAATCCGTTCAACTACATCACTTTATTTGTATTTATACATGGCACGTCAGCCATCGGGCGATTCTTCTAGGGAACAATTTCATTATAATATCCAATCAATCTGGGCTGAAACTTCTGTTTCCACAATTATTTAAAAACAGCACTCAGAATAAATATCTTATGAAACTGAAAAAACGATTTTGACGATCAAGTAATGAAAGTGAAGAAAGCATCTTTGATTAAATGTCAATTATTTATTTTTTATAGATTTAGAAAGCAGCTGTAACAATTGCTACATCATATATAATAAATGGCTTATAATATAATAATTGCTTCATCATCTTGAAAGTGCAGTTTTATGATGAACTTAAAAAATTTAAATGTAACATGGTCCTGATACTGGGCCAGCAGGCGTTTGCAAAGATGACAATTTGTTTCCGATTCGATGCGATACATCCCTATCAAAAATAAAATTTAGGATGATTCCACTTTTGAATTAGAACATTGTTAGTAAAGTTTAGCATTCCATAACTCACCATAACTCCGTTGCTCTTTGCTTTATACCGAGCATCCTTCAGAGTATCTTTGCAATTTCTGCCTGCACTGCTTTTTAAATAGCTCCAAATTCTAATTAAGATAGATTAAAAGAAAATTGTTGAAAATGAGATAACAAACAACGTCACTGAAAGAAATAAAATCTTGTCATGAATTAATCATACTTCTGACAAGATAACTGGTCTAAGTTGAACTAAGAAGAGCGCAATCTTTCTGTAGATAGA